CTTACCCAGGACCTGGGATAGGCAGATTTGGATGTTTGATGGTATTACAGATATCGTCGCAGGATGGAAGCACTTCCTAGTAAGGCCGCCTTTTGCAATTGACTAATAGAGAATTTGTCAATGCCAATGGTGTTGAAGTGGTGCTCCAGATGTTTTGGGATTGCACCCAAAGAGCCTATTACTATTGGTACTACCCTTGCTTGCTTTTGCCACAGTCTTTCTATTTCTATTTGTAGGTCTTTGTATTTTGTTATCTTCTCCAGTTCTTTCTCTTCTATTCTGCTGTCTCCAGGCACTGCCACGTCCACTATCCAGACTTTTTTGTCTTTCTTATCGACAATTGTTAAGTCTGGGGTGTTATGTTGCAGGTGCTTGTCTGTTTGAATTCTGAAGTCCCAGAGCAGTTTAATTTTATCATTTTCTATGACTTTCTCTATTTTATGATCCCACCAGTTTTTGCTTACAGGCAAATGATATTTTTTGCAGATCTTCCAATGCACCATTGTTGCTACTTTGTCATGCCGCTGCTTGTAGTCAGTCTGTGCAATCTTCTTGCAACAGCTTACCAGGTGGTCCACTGTTTCTTCAGCTTCTTTGCATAGGCGGCACTTACTGTCTGTTGCTGTCTTCTCAATTTTGACTTTATATGCATTTGTCCTTAAGGCTTGGTCTTGTGCAGCCAGAATTAGTCCCTCGGTCTCTTTCTTCAATTTTCCTGCTCTTAGCCATTGCCAGGTCTTATTATTATCTGCTTTCCCAGCTATTTTTTTAATGTATTGGCCATGTAGTGCTTTGTCTTCCCATGCCTCTATTCTGTTCTTCATTTGGTCTTTCTTGTAGGCCAGTTTGGTCTCTCCAGTAGTTAGTAAGCCTTCCTGATATACTAATTTCAGTGCATCTTCATCATTGTTCTTCAGATATTCTTCCAAAGCCATTTTTTCTTCTTCAACCATCTGATGTACTTGTAGCATTCCACGCCCACCTATTTGCCTTGGTAGATAAAGTCTATCAATGTCACTGCGTGGATGAAGGGCATGATTCATTGTCATTATTTTTCTGGTCTGCCTATCCATTGCTTTTAGTTCTGCTTGAGTCCAGTCCACTATTCCAGCTGTGTACCTAATGACTGGGATTGCCCAGGTGTTGATTGCCTTTATGGTATTTCCTCCATTGAGTTTGGACTTTAAGATCTTCTTCACTCTCTTGATTTATTCACCTCTAATCTTTTTCTTGACTTCAGTGTGCTTGATGTTGTCAGCTTGAAGGATACCCAAGTATTTGTAGTAATCTTCCTCATCCAGACTCTTAATGTTATTTTCGTGGGGCATCTTGATTCCTTCAGTTTTTACTACTTTTCCTTGTTTGATAGTAAGTGTGGCACATTTGTCCAAGCCAAACTCCATTATTATTATTATTATTATTATTATTACTACTATTACTATTATTATTACTAGGACTAAGTTATGGGAGAAACTTTAAGCTACTTTAATTGATTGCAAGCTTCTCCATCTGTTACGTGCCTTACATACTAAAACATCCCTTAAGGTGAGGTGCAATATCCAAGGGTCCCTCTCGAGCTCAGTTGAAACTCATAAGCTTTTCAAATTTTATATAAATGACATGGTAAAATGGTTAAATTACCACCCCAAAAAAATGAGCGTTTGAAGCATTGCCCTGCTGCTCTATGCAGATGACACTGGGATCCTCTCCAGGACACCAGTAGGCCTTAAAAGAGCCCTGCGAGCCCTTGTCCAGTATTGAAACTACAATAAACTGGACATAAATTACTAGAAAACAAAGATTATGGCTTTTGCAAAAAGGCCAAAACACTACTCAAAGTATCTTAATGGTCATAATATACCATAATTACCTAGGGATGGGCATCCATGGCACTGGCTCAAAAAAAAGCACATGGAGAATATGAGGCTGCCTCTGGTCAAAGATCAATGAACGCCATCCTCATTTTTTTCAGCACAAAGGGAGGACACTATGTTCCAGCCACAATTAACCTCTTTCTGGCCAAGTTGCCAGAAAAGCTTCTCTACTATGGAACCTTGCTCAGATCCTCAGCCTCATGTTTCACACCATTGAAAAGAGTTCAGTCTAAATTTATTAGAGCTGTTTTATGTCTCAAATTCATTTCTGTGCCTTGAGACAGGATTTATAAAAGTTGAAGCAAGAATCTGTATAGCTTCTTTAAATATCTGGCTAAAGCTTAATTTCTTTCCACAAGGCCTTGCTCCATTAATCCTCCAAGACAAATTTTCATCATCATGGATCAAGGCAGTTGAGTCCAATCTTGCCAAACTAGGCTTCTCTCTAGCCACAATATTCAAATTGGACTACGACCAAGCAAAACAAACTTTGCTACAAAGGGTAGTGGACATGAGAGGCAAGCAGACTTAGGGATAGGTCCACTGTTTCGGGCTCCAGACTTTACTACAGTGGTGGCGAACCTATGGCACGGGTACCAGAGGCAGCACTCAGAGCCCTCTCTGTGGGCACACAAACTTTGTCCCCAGCCCCGCTTCTTCCCATGGCCCCCTCCTCACCACCAGTCAGCCCGGAGGAGAGTCGCCTCTGAGTGCAGCCCACGCGAAGCAGCACAGCCAAGGATATGGTAGCTGGGCAGTGGGGACAAGACTCTGCCCTTGCACCCCACCACGTGCAGATGATGCTGCAGGGCACAGGCAGAGGGTGTGGCCATCATGGCGCTGCTGGGCTGCCTGGGTGATCGGTGATGGGCCATGGAGGTGGTGGGTGGCCCAGTGGGCAGGGCGGAGTGGGGACAAGGGTAGGGGGCGGTTTTGGGGCACTCAGTCTCTAAAAGGTTCACCATCACTGCTCTATTAGATGTTATTACTCCCACCAGCTATCTTACCCAATTGGAGTTGGCAAACCACTGGAAAACATTTTTGCTCACCGGGTGCCATGCACTTCCATTGGCCATCCTGTACGGCAAGTGTAAAAAGATACCATTGACTGAAAGACTCTGCTCCTGTGGCTTAGGAGAGGTGGAGACCATTGGACACATTTTTCTTTGATGCTCTTTCTATAGAGATATTTGAAAAAACTATATCCTCCCAATAATCAGTAGGTATCCTGGCCGTTCTGACACTACTTATCTCCAGTGGTTGCTTAAGGATGAACAGGTGGCTAGATTCTGCACAGCAGCACTACCGATTCATCAGAAACATAAATAAGATAAATGTATTTGAAAATATAATTTTTGATCTTTTTTAATAATATTTTTTAAAAAATAATTTTATTATATGTGTTCTTATTCATCATTAGATCATGTTCAGTGCATGTTTATACATGAATGTACATATGTAAGTAGCATACAATTGGATATTTTACTGTTTCTGGTCATATGGCTGTAATAAATTGATTTGATTTGATATTGGAAGCCTATTTTCATTCCAGCTTGTAGACCTGGCTGTTTTGGTTCCAGTTATTCCCAAGATCTGCATTGCAAAAACTTTAGCTTCAGCTTACCACCACATGTGATAAGTGCAAGCATTTGGTAGTTTTGTCTTTTCTTAGCACTCTGTTTTTGTTTTTGCTTTGGTCTTGGAATAGCAATAGCACTTGGCGATAGCAATTAGACTTATATACTGCTTCATAGTGTTTTATAGCACTCTCTAAGCAGTTTACAAATGTCAGCAGATTGTCCCCAACAATCTGGGTCCTCATTTTACCAACCTCAGAAGGAAGGCTGAGTCAACCTTGAGCCAGTCAAGATCAAACTCCTGGCAGTGAGCAGAGACAGTCTGCAACATTGCATTCTAACCATTGCACCATTACAGCTCTTACAAATCGATCCTTTCTAGTATTTGAGGTACTGCTACAATTTCCATACTTGCCTACACACTTTATGTAGTATTTTAATTGCTGGCTTTTGTGCTGAATGGAAGCCTGAAGATCTCCTGATTTCTAGGCCAGCATCTTAACCTCTGCACCAAACAGATTCTCTGCAATTCCTGAAATTTTGTCTTTAGCAATATTTTATAGATATCACTTCATGTCACTTTCAGAACATCTGGATCTAATTCAGTTATTTAGAACTTTATTTTCTGCTTTTGAGGAACTTATGATCTCAATTAGCAAAAATAAAAAAAATAGATGCAATTTAGAATTCATTCCAAAATAATGCACATATCTAACATCATCAGTTGTTAAGATTAATAGATTGTTGGTCTTGAACTGGTATAATTGTAATTATATATATGACTTATCACAATAATTTATATATTATATCATTAGTTGGATCAGATTGCTATTATATAGAGGTAACCCTCAACTTACAACTACAATTGAACCCAAAATTTATGTTGCTGAGATGTTTGTCAAGTGAATTTTTGTCCATTTTTTTACCTTTCTTGCCACTGTTGTTAAGTGAACCACTGTAGTTGTTAAGTTAGTGACAAAATAGTTAACTGAATCTGGCTTCCCCATTGACTTTGCTCGTCAGAAGATCACAAAAGGCGATTGCATGATCCTGGGACACTGCAAGCATCATATATATGAACTAGTTGCCAGGTGTCTGAATTTTGAACATGTGACCATGGGGATACTGCAATGGCCATAAGTGTGAAAAAGTCATAAGTCACTTTTTTCAATGCCTTTGTAACTTTGAATGGTCCCTAAAATACTGTTGTAAGTCGAGGACTACCTGTATATGATAAAATTATTGATATACTACATCCATCAAGGCAAAAGCTTGTCTTATTTTAAAAATCAAAATTAATAAAGCAATGACATAACTGGTACAGAAGTTGCATTTTCTGTCCATATACTGTAGCACTCCAAAAGTTCATACACTTTACATTTGACATAAAAAATTTAATTTGAACCACATGTAAGTGATACAGAGTTTTTTATTTGAAAACAGTATTAGTTTTTTTATGTTTGATCCTGCCTTGTTTAATTGGAGAAACATTTGTCAATTAAATGTGTGTTAATTTTCATTCAACTTTTTTTTTTACTTCCTTTCCTAGTTGGTTATACAATGAATGATCTTGTATTTGAATGGCAAGAAAATGGTGCTGTACAAGTAGCTGATGGACTCACTTTGCCACAGTTTTTGTTGAAAGAAGATAAAGATCTTTGTTACTGCACAAAACACTACAATACAGGTGGGAAAACTACTCAGAGTTTTGTCAGTTGAAAGAACATTGTAACTCTTTGTTCTCTGAAAATATATTCAAATGTGTAGTTAATCACAGAGTAGTAATGATTCTTGGGCTAAGGATTGTTTATATGTAGGAGAAGAGTTTCATAATACACATCATAACTTCATGAATAGGTGATAACATCAGCCACAAAATATTAGACAACAAACAATCCAGTACAGCGAAAGAAATAAAGTCAATTTAGACAATTTGTATGAGGGTAGACAAAATTAGGCAAAACATTGTAGGCTGGGTACCTGAGGTCCTGCTTTATAGTATTTTGAAGGTTTTTGTCCTCATTTTCAAATATATGATTCTTTTTATTAGATAATTTTATTTTAATTTGCTACTTCCAGATTCAACACTATAAAGGAGAACATATAACATAAATATTGTTATTGTAAATAACAATATTTTTAAATCACTGGAGTATGCTGATTCAAGAAAAAAAATGCTTCCTATGTCATTATGATAGAGTAAAGATTCTGCTGCTGGTCCCCTATGGTTTTTGTCTTATTTTTCACATACAAATGTTTTACATCTGGAATGCTGCAGGATATTTATCAAAACAGGAAATCAAGCATCTTTATGACCACTGGGAACAGCTGTGCTTCTGTCACTGTTGATTAAAGAAAATGATCATAGTGTTATAAGTAGGAATAGTAACATGTTGATTATGTCCGGTTTTCTAAGAAACAATTATTGTTGTATTTTACATGTATTTTTGCATTCCTTTTGTTTATTGTTAACATCAGCCCTACAAAGAAGCAGAGTAAAGTGAGTTTTAGACAGCCAATTATTTATCATTAACATTATTACTGAAGTAGCTCCATCTTTAATTATCTATTTAGTGGGTTGTAATAAACAACTTAAAATGAGTTCATTTGCTTTAAAGTTATTTAAATAAATATTTTCTATAAATTATACAACAAAACTCTTATTTCTTTAACTTTAAACTGAACAAAACTGTACACAGTAGGACTTTTTTTAACCAAAGTATCTCAAATTGGTTAACTTACAGAATGTGTTCAAAATTCAGGACCCATGATTCTCTTGGAATTGAAATTTAGCAAATTATATAAAACATTTTATGACATTGAAATTATCATAAAACAGTTTCTGACATGATATAAAATGTTCAAAATGGGTTATTTTCAAGGAAGGGACATTTTTGAATGTGTCTCAGTTTTTATAGTTAAGACATTAGAAATTCTGTCATTGTTGAAGAAAATGAGGAATCTGGTAAGGAAATATCTCTGAAAAGATGACTTAGTGGATCATGGATTGCCTAAAGTAAAATTAAATCTGGATCCATTCTAGAAATCTTTACAGGATTTTCTGCCTCATATGCTTAACCTTGGACACTGGATAAAATTCAGCTGAACTCAAGTTGATTATAAAGAGTTTCACCAATATAAGCATGCATTTTGTACTATTCCAGGCAAGACTGATTTAATCACATTGACTGGAATTCACAAGCAGATCATTAAATGCTCCAGGAAGTTAAATGAGAACTATAGGGGTTGTAGAGTACAGATACAATAAATAAATGAACAAGTATATGAACAATTAGTGAGGGATGTTGTAATACATTACAAACAAATAGTAATTGACATTATTCTGTAATTGCATCAAGGGCAGCTGATAATGGAAATAGCTGGTTCCTCTAACACAGGGGTGTCAAACTGCCGCCCTGCGGGCTGGATGCGTCACACCAAAACTACACCCACCCCATTGCTGGCAATGGGAAAAAAGTTGCGATATGTCGTGACACATCATGTGACATCGCGAGTTTGACACCTGTGCTCTAACAGTTGCTTTCTGTTATTACCAGGAAAGTTTACCTGCATTGAAGTTCGATTCCATCTTGAAAGGCAGATGGGATATTATCTTATTCAAATGTATATTCCCAGTCTCCTGATTGTCATACTGTCATGGGTGTCATTTTGGATCAACATGGATGCTGCTCCAGCTAGAGTGGCTCTAGGTATAACAACTGTACTCACAATGACGACCCAGAGTTCAGGATCACGGACTTCACTCCCAAAGGTGAGACCTTCTGAAGGTTTTTATTTTGATTGATTATAGAGAATTGTCTCTTATATATACAGTAGCTGTTAAAACTGTTCTTCTTATACTGTAAATATCAAAATTAATTGGATATAGAAATATAAACATGTTATTGCATCTTACAAGATATAAACTGTATATTTCTAAATAATCCATATTGTTGCTGCAGGCTTTACAATATAGTATGGATTACTACTTTACTTTTGTAATAAGGTTCTACATTTCTTTCTATTATCATGGCTATTATTGAGAAGTAGCATTAGTCAAGCTATCTTATATCCATTGCCATAAGAAAAGTGTTACTTTAAAAAATAATAATAAAATAAATTATTTTATTTCATTTTACAGAAAACAAATTGTGGCAATTAGGTCAATCTGATTTGTTTACCTGATAACTCTTGTAGAATGATGCAAGACCTAAAGCATCATAAATGGAATACCAAACATTCAGTAATCCAAGTCAAAGTTTGCTTTCACCATGAACAATCTCTGATGATTACTTAAGGTGATCTAGCATATTTCTGCCTAACATGGAATGTCATAAAGGTACAGTCTTAAGATACTTTGAGACTAAAACTCGCTTCTAATAATGTTGTTTTCAGGACATACAGATTTTCCGCTTTCACTCTTTACTATGATTTGAGGAGGCATATTTTCTTCCCTTGACATTTGGAGACATTATACTGTCCTATCTCTGTTTTTATACCAGCAATCCTCTACTCTGTATTATCTGTAGGTATCATATGTCAAGGCTATTGACATCTGGATGGCTGTTTGCTTGCTTTTTGTGTTCTCCGCACTTCTGGAATATGCAGCTGTAAATTTTGTGTCAAGACAACATAAAGAACTGTTAAGATTTCACCGAAAAAGAAAGAAGAATAAGGTAAACATGTCAAGCACAGATTACAGAAATATAAGCAGCAAGAAAATTCTGATAGTTTTATAACAATGATAGATTGTTATAAAGTGACTTGTAAAATAATGTATTGATCTAGAATGACATTTTGTATATGGTTGACACAAAGCATATGTAATTCACAAATTTTGTGATGTCTTCAAAGTAAGGATTTAAAAGAATTTAAGTGAAGAATCCTGCATAGGTTTCTGCAAAGTTTAATGTCACCAAAATACTAAAAGATTGATTTATTATGGAAACTGATGATTTGAGATATCTTAACATTATTTCCTACAACTATTCTATGGAAAAGAAATGATAAATATATTTAGCTTTTTAAATGAAAAGAAAAAGCAACTCATAATGCACTTTTCTTTCTATGTGGGTAAGAGGCAAGAGGAAATTTCTCATGTCAAATAGATGCTAAAAATGTGAGGTGTGTTAAAGAATCAAAACTATTTATTTTTTATACCTCAGAATTAATTTTAAACAATGATGCAATAAACAGAAGATTTGCCTATGTGTTTTTGACAACATACAATGGAATAGCAGTAGGCAAGGTATCCAAGAATATGATTATACCATAGGAATTATAAATGCCATGGTTGATCTTAGGGCAGGTGAGGGCAAAATATATGCAGGAGAAAGTAAAGGGTGGATATAGATATCAGATTTTTTTCTGATTCTGTCATAAGCATCTTAATGTACTACAGCCCTGTTGTATTAAATAACTATGAATTTTCTGCATACTTCTATGATCTTTATAAGATTTTAGAATGGGAATGTCAAAAGAAATAAGGATTATATCTGGATTACAGTATCAAGTGCTAGAGAGAAGCTGCACTAATGACTATATGTGGATGTTGCTTCTTTGAAATTCTAAGATGGGATGTCAAACAGCTGGCCCATGGGCTGGATGCGACACATAGAACCTGCATCCACTCCAGCTCCAGCAAGGGGAAAAAAGTTGTGATACGTCGCAACATGTCACATGACGCAGCGAGTTTGACACCCCTGTCCTAAGACATATTTTTTCCCTCAGATTGAGTCTTTACATGACATGGATACAGATAATTTATGCCACATATTGTATTAATTCATATTTGAGGTAACACATTTAAGCCTATTTTCTTTTCACACACACAACTACTGGATTTACACTATATTAAATATTAAATCATAGCAATGAAAAGGCTTCAATATTTATGGATTGTTGGCTTATTTAAACAGCAGGTTGGAATGAATATCTGTAGTATCTAATATTATATTTTACTGATTCTTACACATCTACATTGACAGTCTTTTTAAAGAATTATATTCTGTCAAGTCCCATCAGTTTAGCTATTGCAGTGACTAAACCTGTTCCTCCAGATCCATCTCTATGTAAAGTACTCAATACATTATACATATTAAATCATTTAATTGTTTTAATCAAAATGATGTAATATGGCCTGACTCATTTATTCTTTATAACATGTGCTGATCATGTTCTGTGGCACTTGGGTTTTCAACCTGGGCTGCCGGCTTTCCAGCCAACAAGCCCAGCATCTCAATCGCTGATCCACCACTGATAACCTTACCTTAAATATTACTCAAGCAGGTACTTCAGGATGCTCCCAAATTTAAAAAAAAAACCCTTGTGTTTACTATCATCTTCTTCCACAAAGGTATTTTTAACTTCTCAGTCTCCAGAATGTATTGATCTTTTCCATTCTAATATTACACAAGCCTGATATGCTTAGCAATTAAGATATATACTGCCAATTGTAGAAACAACAATGAAACTATTATTCTGCTAACTATGCTTAAGAGACTATTATGAATAATAAAAAGGATAATGCTAAGTAGTAACAACTTCAAATTTAATACAGAAGCCCTAAATTCTTTGGGGAATGGTGTCATGGTTCCAATAGATTGGCTGGGAAGCCAATTGCAGATGATAATATCATCTAGCCAATGATATCAATACTATTTTAGACTAAGCATTTATTGTTCACATTAAGCCAAGACTATTCTATGATTTTAAATTATTGTCTTTAACATTGTTATGATATAGTGATATATAATAAAAGTAGTCCTTTACTTGTTTTAAAAGAAAAACAAATTTCAGTTGTATAATAAGCATTCCATTTCTCATTTTATATATCTGATTCATATCTATTTGTTAGTAATCCATACAAACATATCGGTCTCTCTGTCTGTCCGTCCATTGATCCATTCAAAAGATTTATATTTCAGCCCAGCTCAAATAACATAACTCTGGATAGCATTAAAAAAATCACTAAACAAAAATATATACAATTATTAAGGTCATGTTCATTTTAAATTTCTTCTCTTGGATTTGTGGGCTTAAGTAGTTGTAGTAAATCCCAAAAAGTGTTTTGTTTGCTTGTTGATGCTAGCCACACATGTGAATTGCTATATTAAGTTTATGCAGTTTTTTTTTGAATTGGTTTGGCTCCATCTGCAGGTTTTCAAAGCAATTTTCTGTAAGGCTGTATTCATTTGACTGATGTAAAACAGTTTTAATCAAACTCACTTGTGGATAATTCATTCAACTCTCTGATGTGATGACTTGCCAAAATTAAAATGTAAATTGGCCCATCGTTAACTAGAATTACAATCATACAGTTTAATATGGGCATTTAGGTGATCATGTCCTACTCAGTCCAGGAATCTAAATTAAAATGTCTCCAACAGATGGCTATTTTAATTTTTTTTTTTTAACACATTCAGTGAAAGGAAGCCTACCATCTCTCTGGGTAATTGGTTCCATTGACAAATACTTTTTACTACATAAATGATTTTTCTAACGCACAATGGAATATGGCTTCCTGTTATTTAAATATAAACTATTTTGTAACTTGCACTCTGGAACAAGGAAGAGAACATTTCTTGGTGGGGCATCCTTTTAACTAAGTATTTAAAGCCTTGTTGCATTCTCCAGGCCTACTATATAATTGTATTTACCTTTTTCTTTGTAGCCCCATCATATTATGAGGTCATATTCACATTCCAAGATATTTTCCCCACATTTAATGTTTAAGTAATGTATCAGCCTTTGAGGCAGGCCAGTTTAAGAAACAGAATTATCACTGGAATTCTATTGATACAGAATCTGGAATACCTGATAGCATTTTCTTTTCTGTCCTCCTTAAAAGATAAGATCACTTTCAAATTTCTTTCTAATGTTTTCTTCCTTTCTCTGCCTTAATTAACATTTTGCTAACTTCTCCAAGGTTCTCTGTAGTTCCCTATACCAACTATCCCCCTCATTTCTCGGGAACTGTTTTGCAGGTACCTTTAGCTCCATGCCGAAATTTTAAAAAAATTCATAAATAAATACAAATTAACAACATACAAAAATAGACCTCTAGTAGTCCAAATCCAGCACTGTTTTAGATTGATCCTTCTCCAAAGCACATAGAGTCTACATTTTGCCCTTATCATATTTAACTACAACAAGTATGGCTAAGTTTAGGTGTGTACATGATACCCTTCTAAAGTTTTAATAAAAGATTGTCCTGTCAGTCCTGTCTGGCTCTAGAGTAAGATGTCATCTGTTTCTTGGCCGAGGGAGCTAGTATTGTTTGAAAACTATTTCCATGGTCATAGCTATATGCCAAATGCGCATGGAACACTGTTATCTTCCCAACAAAGTGGTAACTTGCAGTTAGAAATCATGCAAAAGTTTTACTAATTCCTCATAATATTAAAGCAAGTAGACTTTAAAAAACAGTTATTTAATAGATAAGAGTTAATCTGCCTTTTTTTGAATCACAGAACTGGAGTCAAAATGGAAACAAGAATCACATAGCAGCTTGTATTACCATTAATAGAGATACACCTGGGGGAAAAGCTGCAGAAATTGAGGCCAGAAAGTAGCCAAATATATCTAGAGAATATGATAAAATATCTACATATCTTACATTTTTCATATCAGAGAGAGAGAGAGAGAGAGAGAGAGAGAGAGAGAGAGAAGAAAAAAAGGAAGGAAATAGTATACTACTTAAGCTAAGGTACATATACACAATTTTTTCTATTCTTTTTAACCATATTCAAACAAATGTTTAAACTTTAAAAATTCCATCTAATAAATCCAATCATCTACTATTTTAAATCTATTCAGAACATTTTTATCAACTGAGATTTTCTCAAGATCAATTACACGTAAGTATCTAAAACATTTTCCTCATATAAATCACCCCAACATTTTTATATTTTTCATATCATAAAAAAATACTATGTTATTTGAGGTGCCCATAAATAAAATACATTTATAACCAGATTTTTTCTATTTTTTAACCATATTCAAACAAGTGTTTAATCTTTAGATATTCCATCTGATAAATTCCATCATCTAATTTCTTAATTCTAACTTTAGCCCTTTTTTTTGCCAAACATCTTTCCTAATCTGAATGCTCTGCTGGACCAAAAAGTCTTTTCATAGTCTTATAGATGTTGTAAGTACAAGAGACAAATCCAGTAAGATGTTTTGCCCCTTCGTATTCATTGAAAATCTTTTTCTTTCTTTCTCTCTTAATTTCTCTTATCATTTTTTGTCTCTCAAGTTTTTATAGTTCTCCTGACAGATCTATAATCCATTTTGTCAAATCTTTTTTCTTGTCCTCAGATTTATTTTGCAATCTTGAAGTGTAGGTTATCTTTTCCATGTCCAATATTTCCTGCAAGTTTTTCTCTGGGTTAAATCATAATTCCTTCCTTTGTTGTTACATCTTTAAATCTCTTTCCTCTGGTTTATGTTCAGTTGTTTGCTTTATCTCATCACTCTCTATTTTTATTTCTGAGAGTTTTTTTGTTGTAAGGTTAAATTGAAGATGTGTTCATTTATATTTTCAAAGTTGTTTTTAATTTCCTCATAGTTTAAAATAATTGTCATTTGAATTAGTTGCAATATAGCATACATTTCCTCCTGGAAAGTATTTGTTTTTTCTTGATATGTTCTTTCTGCAGATCTCTGATGTTCCATGATAGCCAAAAATCAACATTTTCCTTTCTCTGCAAACAGCTTTAGAGTCACAGTTCAATATGTACTTATAATCCAGTAAGGTCATTTTTTCCCCTAAGGTTTATAGTTCTCACCTTGTAGGTAGCTCAATGTTTTCTTTTCTTTGTTACAGCTGTTCTTTGTTTAGTTAAGACATTGAAAATCACAAAAACAAGTTAACTTTTTCTGGGCTTTCTGCCAATCCCTGTATTAGAGCAACTACAGTTGTATATTTTCATCCACCACTAGATGTCAGCACCAGTTTGTTTTTCAATTTTCAAAATAAGCAATTACTTTCTTCTGTTTTCATCTTTTGAAAAGAAAATCTTAACAAATTCCACCAATTTCAAACTTATACAGATTTAAGTCTTATATTCATTTCATTTCAATATATTTCTCTCCCCCATAAAAGTTTAATTTGCCATTTCCTTCTGTGAGAGGGTGGTGCAAGAGTCCCACTCCTTCTCACTTTCGGAGGATTTTTACTTCTTGGGCTTTTTTCCCAAGAAATCAATTATCAAATAGAAGTAGAGAATCAATATTCTTACCCAGTTCCAAACACATTGTTTATGATCAAGCTTAAAGTAATGCTTTTGGTCTTCAGCTGCTTGTAGCTTGGGCTAGACTCTGGAGTGAAGCTAGCCTTTTTTCTGCTGGTTTCTGGAGGGCTTTCCCTGAATGACCAGATCGGCCGTTGTCTCTCCGCAGTCGGCGGGGCTGCCCTCCTTTTTTGTTGCCTCTCCGGAGTGACTTTAGGCCCATTTAGGGTCCCCTAACATGAAAAAATTGGCCACAGGGTGCAGAGCCACACAATCCCTTGGCTGCTGCATTACTGCACAAAACCAGAAGCCATAAATTTGTATTTCTTTGGAGAGTTATAAATTTGACATTTGTGGCATATAATTCAAAGTATAGTCGTATTCTAAACCAGGGTGTCCAACACCGGCAACTTTAAGAGTTGGGGATTTTAATTTCCAGAATTCCCCAGCCAGCATGACTGCTGTGTTTCCCCAAAAATAAGATATCTCCCAAAAATAAGCCCTAGCTTGATTTTTACACCTGTGCCTAATATAAGTCCTATCCCCCAAATAAGTCCTAATTTTGGGGTGAGGCATATGCCTAAAAATCAAGCAAAATATTCACTTTTGGCAATGGTTCTGGTATTTTTAAAGTCAATTTCATGTCCTGTGGCTTTAAGGTGTTGGACCAGGGAAGATGTTGGTTCCTCTTTTTTGACTGAGTTCTTATGTTCTTCAATGCATGCACTTATTCTTCTGTTGGTTTGTCCGATGTATGTGTTGGGACAAGCAGTGAATGGAATTTCATATACTCCTTGATTTTCTAAGTCAATTTTATCTTTGGGGTTTCTAAGGATGGTGGATATTTTTCTGTTTGTGCAGAATGCTGTTTTGATGTTGTGTTTATGGAGGATCTTACCATTGCCAAAAGTGAACATTTTAATAACAGAATAATCAGAGAAGCCATCGAGATAGAAAAACGCCCACACAGCATGAACAAGCGAGATAATACCTCCCGCCTACCAGCCATTTGGAAACCCGCCCTTATTGACAAACAACTCCCTAACACAAAAAATGATACCAGACCCACACTCACAAAAACCACACAGGATGTCACCACCACACATCCACGCAAAAAACAAACCCAAAGCCACACCGATGACGAGGCACGACCACAAACCAGAAGCCAGACCACAGCTGCATCATTAGCCACTTTAAACCCCTCCAATCCATACATGAAGCAAACTGACACCCGTCCATGAAGATGAGGCACGACCACAAACGCGAAGCCAAAAAATAGCAAGGCAGCCCAAAATCTTAAACCCCCTTGCAACTCAGACTAACCTGAGCACAACCAAACAGAACACTCCCCCAGCCAATCAGAGCACAGCCAACCCCCCAGCCAATCAGAGCACAGCCAACCCCCCAGCCAATCAGAGCACAGCCATGCCCCTAACCAATCAGAACACACCTCTACCCAATCAGAACACAGCCAAGCTCCCACCCAATCAATTCATACCCCCACTGGCAGTTAAAAGGAAGAAACAGCTATAACCACACATTGCTCCTCGAAGCACGAAGCTGAAAGCACCAGCCTGAAGATGACGAATGGGACTTCGTCGAAACGTCGCCAAGACACTTCCAATTTTACGCAGGAGAAAATCTGAACAACCAAAGACCTACATACAAACACCCGCGAAAACCTCAGAAAACATATATATAAGACCAGGTCTTATTTTCAGGGAAACATGGTAACTAACTAATTCTGGGAGTTGAGGTTCACAAATGTTAAATTTGCCAAGGTTGGTCACCTCTGTTCTAAGCATTATGGATCTTCTTCAACACCATATTAACAAATTTGAGACACTGAAAGAAGATACTCATGTCATATGAGTACACCCACCCATTTTTATATGTGACAAACTTTATACTAATTTACAGTACATATAGGTTGACTTTACCTTCCAGAAATTATATATTAACTTTCTGAAAAATAATTATTTTCCCCATCTGCCAATAGTAAACATTCTTTCTCACAAACAAAATGACTCAGATATATGTTTTTCTTGAGGAAAAAAAAAGGAACTATTCTGACTCAAATCTAAAATGCCTTCTTCTAAATCCAGTCAGATAGTTAACTCAAAAGAAATGATCTTATAATAAACAAAATATATTTTAATGAGAAAGATTACTTGCATTCACGCTGTGGTTGATACTCCGGAAAATACATCTTTGTCCATCTTTTAGATCATCCCTTTAGGTAAGAGGATATTGCTCTTCATACCATCCTTATAACGATTCAGGCTCATTGTGTGACCTTCCATGGCCCATGCTTCTTACAGACAAAGAGATTCCCATGTGGCTTGTGTCCAGGAAGTCTCCCAATGACCTTTGAGACTCCTCCCACTGACCCATCAACATACGTAGCATTTAACCCAATAACTGCCAGACACTTCAACACACTGATACCTGCTCTCTACATAAGGTCCATAGAGCTATATGGTCCATAGAGCTATATGGTCCAGAATACTCCCTTGGAAATATTGGAAATTTATATTTCCACTACTAAAATAGTAAAAACATAGCATCAAGGCATGCAATACTCATTGTTAACTAACTTGTGACTAAATAGGTAAAACTTGGTATTAAACATGCATAACTATAAGGTAAATATAAAACATGCACAATTATGCGAAAAGGCAAGTGTTACATCAAACAATGCATAAGACAATACATAATTTGAGGTTTAATCTTCTGGTTCAGTCTTCATCAGCAACGGGACCAAATCGGTGATCAGCCTGGTACAAGTGTCTTTGAGTCACGACTTGACTCACGTGGCTTTACGATCTGGACCTCAACTGGACAAACTAGTTCATCAAGTGGATGGGCCCGGTGCGCAAGTCCCATGGGCCAATAGTTCTGGTATGCAGTCTTGTCTCCCAGTGAGACAAGGTCTTCTTCCTGTGAAGGAAACTGGAACCAAATCTGGAACAGAAAAAACTGGAACCTAAGCTTCTCGGGAACAAGGGGAACTGGATTCACAGGATACTCAGGAACACCAAAAACAGATTGGTGATGGAATAACTGCACATGAAAAGGAGCAAAAGAGAAATAGGGAAAATGATAAAAGCAAGAAGATAAGTATGAACAAGAGATAACAGGACAGGGAATAAAAAAAAAGACAGAAGAACCCTATTTCAAAATTAAACAGTCAAACAGCAACAAATCTTCAAGCTAATATTTAAAGATATTTCCTACACTTTGCAGCAGCAATGTTTTTGTTTTCAATATCTTTTTTATTTTTTACAAGAGATATCATCTTTCCTCATATTATTTACAAGAGGGGAAAAAAGAAAACTTTCTTATAAACACAGCTTCAAGAATTCTAATTAATGTTTTTTTTCTTCTTTCTAATAGGATGATGATATAAGGGAAAATCGGTTCAATTTCACGGGCTATGGAATGGGACCACCATGTATACAAGCAAAGGATGGAGTGGTCCCAAAAGGGTCCAATAATCCAGTTCAGTCTGCATTCCTTACTCCTGAAGAAATGAGGAAAGTATTCATTGATCAGGCCAAGAAAATTGATACCATATCCAGAGCCTGTTTCCCTTTAGCCTTTCTTATATTCAACATTTTCTACTGGGTTATCTATAAAATTGTTAGGCATGAGGACATTCACCAAAAACAAAATTAAGGTTTTCACTTTTTAACAGTTCTCATTTTGGTTACAGTGGTAAAAATCAGTATTGAAATACTTTTTAAAAAACAAGAGCTCGATGGGGGGAAAAAAATCCAAGAAACAAAATACTTATGTGATTTGCTATGCAAAGTCACAATGATGTGGGGGGGGGGAAGACATCCAATAAAGATGCAGCATAGTCTACCACAGTATTTCTACTTGTCATTAATTTTAGTTTTGCAAAGTAAATGACAATGCTGCTAGGTAAAATGTTACTGCCAATCTTTCTATATATTGTTACATAATAATATAGTATTCTTTGAAGTCCTTGTTATAATTTTTAATTCAGCTATATTTTTTTAATCTATGAAAAGGAAGTCCCCAAAGTCCTGAGATAAGTGCCATATAATCAAGCCTACTTTAAATTTTATAAGTGAACACTGTTTTGAGTCTTGAGTTTAAAAAATCTTAACTACTTTAAGTAATAAAGCTTGTTTTCTAGATTTAAGGACACTGCCAATGGCCTTTGTATTAAACAGAGAATGCATTTTAGATAATACACTGAAAAAAGAAACTGCATGCAAACACAAATACACGCAATCCACAAATCACTTATTCTATGAAATTGTACCAATGTTTCCTTTAATGTGTCGATTCTATTCTGGAAAAAGATACACTGGTAATTGCCAGCCATATCACAAATATGACTGACAACTGATTTCAGATACAAGATTTTTGACATACAAAAAGGCAGGTTAGGTCATTGCATATTATTCAGCACAATGTTAGAAATTTTGATCTTCTTTTGAAGGTGGGTGGGAAGTGAGGGAAAGGGAAGACAGAAGCTCAATGTCATAAATTTTTAAAATGTATTGTTTATTTATTTAGAAATTTTATATAACCTACTCACCCACAGTGACTCTAAGCAGCTTACAAACAATAAAACACAGTATAGGGGAAAAAATTAAAAAATAACCCAACACCCATCCACCCCTGGCAACAACACTCAGTCAAATAAGCCATTTTATGGGCTCCATCCCACTCTGAGTTCCCCAGGCCCACTGGCGAAATCAAGTCTTCAGGGCCTTATGAAAAAGTGTTAAAGTGGGTCCAGTTTAATTTCTGAAGAGATGATATTCCAAAGGGAGGGAGCCACCAATTGAGAAGGCCCTTCTTCTAGGTCCCACCAGAAGTACCTCCATTGGGGACAGGACCCATAACATTCCTTGCCTCCCCACTCTAATGAGTTAGGTGGATATGACTGGCAAGAGCCGGTCCCTCAGATAACAGTCTGAAATATTAGATGGTAGTGTAGTATTTCCAATTCAGTACAAAATTTTTCAACAACCATTTTATTACTGAAATTTGTGGCATAGCTTTGACAAATAAACTGGCCATAGTGCAATGATTTGGCTTTATCTATTATTACATAGGAGACAGATTTACCCATCCATTCATGTAAGTGCTCATTATAAATTGGCCTGAGAATGTTAACCATGCTTAAAATTATTCAACTTATAGGTAACATATACTCAATTAATTATACTGTATACCCACTTACTGAAAAGTTAGTACCATTGGAATCAAACTTCTGAGGTAAATACATTTAAAATCAGCCTGATTCAGCATTCATTGACAAGTCTAATAATAAATACTTAAATAATTTTTGAACCACTTTTTCCAAGAAAACAGGCAGCATATTTCAGGATAATGAAAGGTTCTTAACAAATCTATATATTGGTTGGGAAGAAAGATAAATCTTCCATTCCAAATATAGTTTGAAGGTCACTATGTACATTCTGAATCCAATTTTTCATTGAGGTGGATGGATCCTGAATCAATGTTCATTGGAAATATTAAATCATTGGTTGGATCAAAAAATATTTCTTGGATTAAAAAATATCCTAATGGATTTCTGGAATATTTTACATCAAAGTTATTTTCTGTTTACAAAAAGTAAACTGGAAAATTGTACTCTACTATCTCTTGATGTAGAAATGAGGCTGCAGAGATATATAATTATTTATGGTTCAGCTTTAACTTCATTCTGTTTACATGAACAGAGGCCTTTTAGTCATCTTTTCCTGAAACTTTAGTCTTGATAAGCCAAAATAGACTTTGTGTAAAAACTGTAGAATTCATATCTGAACTTGGACTCAGAAACATTTCAAAAAGTTTTAAATGTTTCTGCCACTTCAATTTTTGATTTTTTAAAAAGCTTTAAATTGTAGAATTTTTATATTCACATTGATTATTTCACATGTAATTAGAAGTTCTCAGCACAGTGAGAGTCTACATTGCTTTCTGTATCTTCTGACTTTTTAATCAAAGAAGTTAGGCACAAAATGCTAAAAGGATCATTATATGAAGAATAGCAGTTGTAGTTATTTATTCCATTATCATGTTTGGCCTTTCTTAAATGTTTAGTTCCTAATAGACATATCAATCATATTCCTTGTTTATATTGTAGTCTTCACTTGTTCAGCAAGAAACTATTTCAACTCTTAGTTGTGATTAAAGGAATCAGTCACTGTATGCAAATACTTCAAGCAGTACTTTAAATCATATTATTTTTCCCTAATTTGGCTTCTTCATTTATTTAATTTTGTTTATTCATAAACAAAAGTGTGTTTTAAATATGGGATAAAGACATCAGCATCAGACTGGTATTATAAGTATTCAAGTAAGATCTTGAATCTTGAATAGAATAGAGCTGGAAGGAATCTTGGAGGTCTTTTGTCCATCCCCCTACTCAAGCAGGAGAACCTATACCATCTCAGATAAGTGACTGTCTAGTCTCTTCTTAAAAACCTCCAAGCACCCACGATTCTGGAGGCAAACTGTTCCACTGGTTAATTATTCTCACTGTTAAGAAATTTCTCAGTGATTCCAGGTTGCTTCTCCGATTAGTTTCTTGTCCTGCCCTCTGCTGCTCTGGAAAATAATTTGATCTCCTCTTTGTGGCAGCCTCTCAAATACTGGAATACTGCCATGATGTCACCCTATTTTTTATTTTCTTTAGACTAGTTGGTCTTCTGGGGTCTTGGCTATTCTTGCCAGTTTAGTGTCATCTGCAGATTTGATGAGTTATGCTTCTATTCCCTCATCTAACTCATTTATGAAGATATTGAAGAGTACTGGGTCTAAGACGGAACCTTGTGGTACCCCACTGCTTACTTCCCCCCATGTAGATGTAGTACCTTTAAGGGCCACTCAGTGACTTTGGTTTGTCAGCCAGTTACAAATCCATTTGGTGGTGATGCTGTCTATCCTACATTTTTCTAGTTTACCAAGAAGTAGGTAGTGATCTACTTTGTCGAATGCCTTGCTAAAGTCTAAGTATACTATATCTACAGCATTTTGCTGGTCTACTAATTTAGTCACTTTGTCAAAAAAAATGAAAAAAGATTGGTTTGGCATGATTTGTTTTAACAAACCCGTGCTGTCTACTAGTTATAAGTTGGTTTGCTTCTAGTTGTTTCCAGATCTGTTTTTTGATTATTTTTTCCAGGATCTTTACAGGTATTGATGTTAGATTGATTGATCTATAGTTTCCTGTGTCTGTTTTTTTTTTCTCCTTTCTTGAAGATGGAAACCACACCAACCTTTTTCCAATCCTCAGGTACTTCCCTGGTGCTGTAGGATTTATGAAAGATATGGTGCAATGATTCTGAGATAACATCTGCCAGCTCCTTCAGAACTCTAGGATGTAATCTGTCAGGTCCAGGTGATTTATATTCTTCAAGGTCAGATAGGAGTTCTCTTACCATTTTCTTGCTTATTTTAATTTTTGTTTCTAGTCTTTTGTAGTAGTTTTTCGGTATGTTGGGCTATAATTTCTTTTTGTGTGAAGACTGATGCAAAGAATGAATAGCTCTGCTTTCTCCCTGCTTCCTGTTAATAGTGGGGCGAGTTTTAACATAGACTGAAAAATAAATTGAATGCGATTCTACTTGCATATAAAAATATGAGTTGAAATCAATCTATTTGCATACAATATTGTCAATTGAAAGTGCTTTTTCAAAAAAAAATCACTGAAATAGAATAAAAAATTCCTAATTTGTAGATATTCTGCTTCCCACTGGAATTGGGTGGTCAGTAAATATATAATAGTATTAGGAAATTGAGAGGGAAAGATCACCTAATTAAGTCCTATGTAAATTGTGCTGCTATCTTTATAGCACATATTCCTAGGAAAGAATTAGCCACTTTGACTAATTTTCTCAGGACTACATTACAGTACAGTTCTCAGAACTATAGTCTGCACACATGATAAAGTTGTGCAAAAAAACCAGAAGATAATAATAATAATAACAATAATCAAATGTCTGCAAAAAGCTGATTATCTTTTTGGAAACAAGACTAACAATATTTCCTGTCACCAGGAACGTACCCTTTCAGGAAACTCCGACAGATTTGGCCAATGTTAATTGGTTCTAATGAGGATAAGGGCTCACAATGGCTCAGCAGTAAAGACACTGAGCTTGTCAGCTGGAAAGCTGACAACCCGTGTTCAAGACCTTAGTGCCACACAAGTGGGTGAGTTCCCATTACTTATCCCAGCCTTTGTTAGCAGTTCGAAAGCACACAAATATTAATAGATAAATAGGTACTGCTTTGGCAGGAAAGGTTACTGCATTCTGAATTTTCATACTGGCCACTTAATGATGGAAGCATCTCTCAGACAAACATAGGCTCCCTTGGCTGAGAATTGGAGATGAGCACCACCCCCTTGAGTCTGTCATGGCTGGACAGGGATAATTTAATAGGATAATTATGTCTTGATTTGCATCCTTTCAAATAATAGCTTGAAATGAAACTTCATATTAATTTAATGCAAAATGAAGATAACGTGCAAACAGATTTGTTACATGGAAGTTGCTTTTTCACTGAAAAAATCAGTGGAGTAGCCAAACTGTGTGTTGTATAAAGACCTGTACACTGTTATTACCTTGGATGGATTCTGAGAGATTTAAGGAAGCAATTTGGTCAAAGCTGTGAAATGATGGTAACGTTGATCTCTTGATATGCTTCAACATTATAGCATTTTCTTTTTTTGCCATCTCCATTATATATGCATAAGACTTGGGGCCCGGGTTTGCAATAATCAGAGGAGACAACTGACTTACATATCACAGTTTTGGGATATTTACTTGTGAATTACTTATAAAGTTGTGCCATATGCTTTTCATATGAAGATTAAACATTAAATCCAGTAGCTTGTGTGATAGTGAGCTTCATTAGCAGCTTCCTCAAAATGTGACAACCAAATCAACCAAACAAACAAACAAACTGGATATAATAGTGTATTCATTATGTCTGTAATGTTTAAACAAATCTTTCTGTGAATTTTGTCTAGACAAGAACAAATACTAATTATGTCTAGAAGTGTTTTATTTTAGTAAAATCTAATAAAAATGTTATGCATGATTAATATTTATTTCTTATATTATTTCTATATTCTGCACTACTGTGAACATGTTCTGCTGACAGAGGTGTTAAGATGTATGCAGCCATGATATTCACCTAATTGTAAATATTTTGTCCTAAAACAAGAATAAAAATCACATTTTTTCATGAATTACTTTGTCTCGCACCATTGTTTTAGGCACTGGCTACAAAATGTCAAAAGTATAATATCTAAAACTGAAAACTGTGTTCCCTGTGGATGGTAATACCTAATCCAACGTTGAAGCAAATTTAGCATGACATTTTGAGGAAAGCAAATGCTAAGAAAATAAAGAACATTTTAAGAGATGGATTTTTAAGTCTTGGATAATATTGGGTAATAAAAGGTTTGCAGGCAAACAACCAAACTCAGAGAACACCAACAACTTACAGTTAGGGAATCATATTATTATTAATGCACTATTCCAGATTTAAAATATGGTCTGGGTCATCTAAACAATGAAAGAGTCAAAGTATTTTATTTTATTGAGGGGGCGTTACATTTATTATCACCATGATACACCACCTACCATCACAGTACAAGAATTTCTACCATTTTTTTAAAATCAGGATTGCCCAGCAAAATATTTACCTAATTCTATTTCAAAAAACTGGGAGAATGTAACAGATTCTAGAAAATTAAAAGCCAAATGTTCGTATCTTAAAGTAGCATAAAACATGGGAATTGATGAACTGTTGATCAATCAGTGAGACACAACAACTGAATGTTATTAGAGTAGATCATGAAATGATTTATTTGCAAGGGGGTTAAAGCAGTAATTATTAAACCCACATTTATTTGTTAAGAAACTTTATGAGTCTTAAACTATTTCAGTTTTTGATTAGATAATTTCCTTCACAGAGTCAAATATTTGCTAAAGTGGCCCATAATATTCTGTGTAGCAAGCTTGTTACAAATGGATGATGTATGTCTCTATGCAGTGGTAGGATTCAAATATGTGAACAACCGGTTCTCTGTGTGGATGCCACTTCCAGAAGTCCATTCTGGGCCTGGGCAACAAAAAATTAGCTACCGGTTCTGCCAAAGTGGTGCGAACCAGCTGAATCCCACCACTGTCTCTATGGCTTGTATTATGATTCATCATCAAATCTGTTATTTCAATCCTTCCTTATAGTAGATCCAGGAGTCAGAGTGGGAATGGCATTTAGGCTGAAAAATAGCCAAGGTAAGCAATTTACTGAAATACTTGATATGAAGCTCTTTAGTGATTTTGATGGAAAGTGAAAATAATGCACAAAATTCTTAAGAAAGCAGTAAAATATTATAGTCTTCTGCACCCTATAGGCATATAGGGGTCATTATTGTACATTTACAATATTCATAATTTTTGTCCAGTGTCTTATTATTAAAACCAACAAAATTACAAAATAATAAGTAAAGATATTAAAGCACTGGTGAAAACAGAAGATTGAGAAGCAAGTGTATTTATGGGGTTACTATCACTCAATTTTTATTTTTCATGTTTTAGCCTATCCTTTGTAAAAAGATGGTTTAATATTTTGTATACAAGATATGATTTTTAAAAACTTTTAAACTTTGCCTACAAGATGTGATTTTTTTAAACTTTAGACTGAGCCGTGGAGACACAGTGGTTAAAATGCAGGACTGCAGGCTAACTCACTGCTCACTGCCAGGAGTTCAATCCTGAACGGCTCAAGGTTGATTCAGCCTTCCGTCCTCCTGAGGTCAGTCAGATGAGGACCCATATTATTGGGGGGAATATGCTGACTCTCTAAACCGCTTAGAGATGGCTGTAAAGCACAATGAAGTGGTATATAAGTCTAAGTGCTATTGCTATTCTTTACCTTTTTTGCAGATTGCTTCTTTAAATATCAATGTGCTGAAAAGATTAATAAATATTGGTAGAACTTTATATATCTTGGATTTATTCAAATTCACTAGTCATATAATTATACATGTATCTTACAAGTGTACTTTCTTATATGAATGAAACAAAACTCAGACCACTTATCTAATTATTTTTAACATTGTTAGTCCTAAATTGTTATATTCCATAAAAACTTCAAGAGAACATTCAGTATCAGACTTTTAAATATCTAATGGGATACTGATAGATTACTTTTTTGTAAGTAATTTTTCACATATTCACCTTGAAAGATATGAACATCCAATAATGACAATACTAATGTATTAAGTGCTTTGCTGACTATATCATCTATGAGTAAAATGACAAAGAATCAAAATGCCACAGATGCAAGAGCTGATTACAAATGCTTCATGTTTTACAAGTCAACATCTTTGTGAAATTGTTTTTCTTTTAGAAATGAGTGAATGCTTTAATTTATGTTGCTCCTGATCTATGCCATGAACACTTC